TCACTTATTTTTCATAATTAGTTTAATTTTTCAGCTTAAATAATTTTTAACAATTTAAATTGAGTGTCATGTCAATAATTTCGTTAGGTATATAGACGGACTTGGACAGAAAGGCCATTTTGAACCATTTTATATATATCTTTTTACATATTTTAAAAAAGTATTTGACATTTTAAAATAAAATACATAATTCGGGGACAATTATAAAAATAATCCATTCAGCTACTATAAGATATTGCAAGGTTTACTTTTAGAGACCAAACCAGAAAAGTATTCACTGTGGTCATTTGTCCAATAATTAGCCTTTGGTTATGTCACTCGTGTTTCCCTGACACCAATTGTTTGACATCTTTGATGGGATGATAGCATATAATATATATATATATATATATACACACATGTATGTATGTATCTATGTATATATATACATGTGTAATTAGTTTACTGTAGAAACATTGTCCGTGACAATATTTCTTGGCCTCAATATGCCAGGCATATCATGTTTGGTACGAGTGAAAGTTGAAAATCTTCGTATCCCTGATCCCCATCTGCCATCCCTGCAATTTTTTTTATTTTTTTTTTTATAATTTCCATCCCTGCAAATTACTTTACCGAAATACTCCTTTTTTTTTTCATTTTTTTGAATTGGCTAATTTGGATTCACCCATATTGGCGCTAAGCTGTTTCAGCTCTGGTGACTTTACAGTTTTATCACAAGAACAATGTGTGCACTGGGGTTGTACGTTGAGTAAGAACTTGGAACTGGTTGAAAAGACATTGGAGGTTCTTTTTCTGGGATAGAACATTGGAGGTTCTTTGTTTTTTAACCCTACCTTGTCTTCTATATATTTGTGTATACTTCTTGTGTTGCATTTTATTTTCTTGGACGGAAGATTTCTTTTGTTGCATAATTAGTTTGACTACAAATAGCAAAAGTCTGTGGCTTATAGAATTTGACCTACTTGATACGTGGATTATAAAGACCTTATAAACATAATCAAAATATACATTACGCGTGTAGCGCAATGTAACATAAAAATAATAAGTGTATGTGTGTGTCCATCAGGATTCGAAGTCTGATTGTTTCATTCTTCTTAATAAAGTAGGGGTATAAAAAGTTATTACCTCCTAATAATTAATATGAATTATCGAGAAAATTGATAATAATAAAGAGCATTATTATAGTAGGGGGCCAAAAAGGGTTCTAAAAGTTCAGGCTTTTGAATTTGACACTTCAATATCTAGAACTTGTCGCATACTTTTTGTGAAAAAAAAAAAAAAAAAAAACTTGAGAATTAGCAAGTGCACGCTTGACACTTCCATGTTGACAATCTCCTCGTAAGAAAATGAGGACATAATGTCTAATACTACTCTTACTTCTTCACTTATGTATCTCTTTTTAATCCAAATCACATACAACAGCAAGCCTTAATCCCAACTTAATTGGGATCGGCTATATAAATTTCACTTTTCCACACGGTTATGTTCGAAATTATACTTTCTTAAAGGCCTAGATCTAGAATGTATTTCCTAACGACTTTGGTCCACGTAATTCTTGGTCTACCCCTCCCTCTCCTAGTATTAGGTATAAGAATGTCCTTCTAAGTACGAACTAGTGCTTCTAGCGATCTACGTTGGACATGCCCGAACCACCTCAAGCGGCCTTCGCGCACCTTAATCCAAATCACATAATTTTAATTTATTAGCTTGCCGAAGACAGTATTATACAAATGCATTACACGATCTGTCTCAATTCCCTTACTCTAATACAGTTAGTTTTGTCATCAAAAATAGTCTCCATCCCTTCTAAGGTCTTGCCTTTTGTCTCTGGCAAAAACAAGTAAAAGAAGATTGTGGCAACCACCATTACACCCCCAAGCACAAAAAACATTCCTCCAAAGGTTATTTCCTTACAATTGTCAGAAATGTCATTGACACCACCCCACTAACCAACCGATTGACCGATATGGCCAGGCTCGATCCTTGGGCCCGAAGCCTCATCGGAAAAATCTCCGACGAGTAGACCCATGTAATTGGGCCGAGCCCAATTGAAAAGAACGAAACATCGGCACATACGGCCAGAATGCACAACACAATGCCCCAAGTCGGCCTGCTGTCCGACCCCTCCAAGAACTTCGAGCCCAAGCCCAATACCGCTAGCGAAACCGCCATTCCTGCCGAGCCCAACAACAAAAGAGGCCGCCTCCCAAATTTATCTAAATAAAGGGCCGAAAACAACACAAAAGACATCTTTGCAAGGCCCATAATGACATTCACTCCGAAGAGATGCTTTTTCCTTTGTATTCCAGCTGCTCTAAAAACCTCCGGGCAGTAGTATATAACGGCGTCGTTTCCAGAAGCCTGCATGAAAAAGTTGATTCCGAGTGCTGCCACGAGGATCCGTCGAATGGGCCTTGTTGGGCTCACCAAAAGTTCCTTCCAAACCCCTTGTCCACTCCAAGCGTTTGGATCACCATCATGGGCCAAAACCGAGCCCAAAGCAGCCTTTGCAATTTCCTGATACCTCATCTCAGCTTCATCTTCAGTGGAGGAAATTTTACTAAGAACCTCCTTTGCCTCACTTAATTTGCCTTTCATGGCCAGCCAGCGCGGTGACTCCGGCATAACCATGATGGACAAACCTATACCGATCGCCGGAACCGCCGCGAGGCCAAGCATTAGTCTCCAATTTATGTGTATTGGAAGGCTTGACAAGGCATAGTTGAGTATGTACCCTAGTAAAATGCCAAATGTGATGAACACTTCCGGGAGGGAGGTGAGCAGGCCCCGGGACATGGCCGGAGAGAGCTCGGCGGTGTAGACAGGAGCGATATTGAGGGCGTAGCCAACACCGATACCGGCTACAATTCGGCCGGCCAGTAGGAACGGGAAGGATGGCGCTAGGCCCATGAGGAGTGCACCCATTAGAAATGTTGTTGCAGCCAAGACTATAGTGTAACGCCTGCCTATATAGTCCGAGGTCTTACCACAGGCGAGTGAACCTATTAGAGAGAACACGTTCAATGTGCCTACCAAAATCTCCACTTGGGTTGATGTGATTTTCAGATTCTCTCTTATAAAAAGCACTGCACCACTCATCACACCTATATCTGCACGTATATATAAATGTGTGTATATATATATATATATATATTCTTATAAATTTGGGAAAGATTGAGATCTAAACAGAAATATAAGGGATATGCAAAAATGAAACAAGAGACCATAAAAGAAACCCACCGTAACCCAACAAGATAGAATTTGTGGAGGCCAAAAGAGCGCAGAAAAGAGTGTACTTGTTTATCCCTGAAGTAATTTCTCTATAACTAGTTGCACCAACAAAATGATTCTGATCTTGGGGTTGAAATTCATTCCTGGTCTCCATGTGAGGCACTGCAGAGAATCCTTTCTTTCCCCTTCTTTTATATATATATATATATATATATATAATAAAATTAAATTAAATTAAATTAAATTAAAAACCTCTTTTGAGAATGCTGTTTTCAAGAGAAAACTAGTTTTGGGTCATTGAATTTGTGGAAGAGGACCAAATAAATGGTGTGCTAGCCGTTAGGTGGGGACTGTGAAAGTAAATGTAAATGGTGGGGTTTCTGGCGTTTTGCAGATGTTACCCAAAATTTGCATGAAATGCTGAAACATGGCAGCACGCAAGGAGCCAACCACACGTTGTAACAGACTAAAATTTTACTTTAATATTTGAGGTGGCATTTTTTTTCTTTTTATTGGCCTAATCTTTGTCCCCCACGTACGTAGTAGTATTCACTATTGCACTATTCCTTTATCCATCTTGTAATGAATGACTGGATAACGACGCATTCAATGGCCAATTCAAAAATCAATGACGGGTCAAGTTAATGTCTCTGAATTGTGATGCATTGATTAAAGGTTGGCGAAAATAAGTAAGAAAATTACTTCGTTTGATAAAGGAAGAATATCATAATTGCGCATCTAATTACTAGTTGGCTCCACTTTGTTTTCGACGAAGAAATGCCCATTAAATGTTAAATTCAATAAGGGTTTTGAAATAATGCTATTTAATATCGATAGTGTTTAGCATAATCTATTAATAAAATAGATTTAATATATATAATTTACAGTGGGTCACAATGTATAACACCTCTTGTGCCACCTTAACATTTTTCGGGGTTGTGAGGTAACATTTGGTGAGAGAAATAAAAAGTTAATGTGTCCGAAAAATAGACCACTAAAAGTGGCAAGCAGTCCATCTCATGATCTTTCAAAAAAATAACAGAATGTTAATACATCCATTAAAAAGGTGTAGTTTGAAATCTGCAAATTCAAGGTGCTGGTGAATATTGGCTTTTAAGAGAAATAGCATTTCAGAAGTTCAAAAGGTTTTTGAAAATCTCATTAGCAAACTTTGCTGCGTGGTGGACTCCTTGCATTTCCGAGCTACACCACAGCAGCCAATAAATAGTCCTACTAGTTTTAATGATACTTGCTCACCAATTCAAATGTGAAAAGCCAAAAGTTCGATATGGAATCACTCTAGGACTTTTACTGCCTACAATGCTGAGTATTATCTAGTAAATCTTTGTTTAGTTCGCTGATTCGAGTTTTTAATTCAAATTTAGATTTAATTTTATGTGAGAGCTTTTTACTGTAGTAAAAAAGTTAAATGTGATTGTTTCTGAGAGCTTTTTCCGCAACAAAACTTAAATTATAAACTCAAATCAGTGAAATGAACAGAACCTTAGACTTTGAAGAATGATGGTATAATTTTTCTATTGATGAGAACGTAATATTTACAAAGTTAGATAAGGAGTTTAAATTTAAATCTAATACTAATCTTTTTTTTTTTTTGAAAACAAATATAATACTAATCTTCGTTTAAAAAAAATCTAATACCAATCTAATCTCATAGAAATAAACTAAATTAATAATAATTTAAAGAAAAATACATACTATTTAAAATAAATCTATCAATTATCATTATTATTATTATCCACAAGAATTAGTGAACAAATCAATGCAACTAAAATCAAATTATCCGACCAAATAGACCCAAACCATGTAGACGAGTATATACATGTATGCCACAACCATTGGGGAAGATATCCATTAATCTTTCCCCGTCTTGCAACAATATGTCATTTCCTATTAAAAACTTGATACATATGTTGCAAATCTGAACCTATCTTAAAAATCCCCTTATGTTCTAAAAAAGAATGCTTTAATTTTCATGCAAGGAAAACAACTAAACTGCCCATCAATCTCACTTGAAAGGCAACATTGGAAAAAAAAGCATATATATTGCCTCAAGAGAGGAGTTTGTAGTCGTCATTATTCTCATGAACTTGGTCCTCAAATAGAGCCCCAATCTCCTCTAAGCTCTTCCCTTTGGTCTCAGGACAAAAGAAGTAAAAGAAAATGGTGGCCACAACCATTATTCCCGACAATGTATAAAACATTCCACCAAACGAAATCTCCTCGGAAATACTCAAAAACGTCATCGAAACCAAACCGCTGACCAATCTATTCACAGATATCGCCAAGCTTGAACCTTGGGCTCGGAACCTAAGCGGGAAAATCTCCGATGAGTAGACCCACGTAATGGGTCCAAGCCCAATTGAAAAGAACGAAACTGTTGAACAAACCGCCACCACACACAGCAGTATGGCCCACTCGGGCTTGGGGTCGCTATACTCCAGATACTTGGAACCCAGGCCCAGCCCAGCTAATGACAGGGCCATCCCAGCTGAGCCCAATAGCAAAAGAGGCCTTCTCCCGAAATTGTCCAAGAAGAGAGCCGAGATCAAAACGAAAGAGGTTTTGGCGATTCCCATCATCACAGTCACGCCGACTAATTGTCGTTTGCCTTGAATTCCGGCTTCTTTGAAAACCTCGGGGCTGTAGTACACAACGGCGTCGTTTCCGGAGGCTTGCATGAAGAAGTTGACTCCGACGGCGGCGATGAGGATTCGCCGGACGGAACGCGACGGCCGGAAGAGGAGGTCCATCCAAACAGCGCCTTGTCCGCCGCGCAAATTTGTGCTGCATAACGACGCCGCTTTGACGATCTCCGAGAGCCGCCTCTCGGCCTCTTCCTTCGTCTCGGAGGTTCTCACCAGAACCTTCCTCGCCTCCTCCAATCGGCCTCTCATCACCAGCCACGGCGGCGACTCCGGCATCGCCAGAACTCCGACCGCCACGGCCATCGCCGGGACCGCCGCCATTCCGAGCATGAGCCGCCAGTTGACGCTCGGCGAAATGCCTGAAAGCGCGTAATTCGAGATGTAGCCGAGGAGGATTCCGACATTGATAAAGACCTCGGGGAGGGAGGTGAGGAATCCGCGAGTCATGGCTGGGGAGAGCTCGGCGACGTAGACCGGAGCGATCATGAGGGAGAATCCGACGCCGATTCCGGCAACGATTCGACCGGCCATGAGGAAGGAGAACGACGGCGCGAGTCCCATCAGGATCGCGCCGAGCAGGAACGTCAACGCCGCGAGGATGATCGTGTACCGCCGTCCGATCGAATCCGAGGTCTTTCCCGATGCGAGCGATCCGATTAGGGAGCACACATTCAACGAACCGACCAGGATTTCGACCTGCATCGACGAGATTCTCAGGTCTTCTCTGATGTAAAGCACCGCTCCACTCATAACTCCGATATCTGCCAAAAATTAACAAACAAAAGTTACAACCTTTTATATCAGAACAGATTTCGTCGAAGTTTCAACATTTGAAAGAATCGATTTTTCAAACTCACCATAGCCTAAAAGAACAGAATTCGTGGAAGCCAAAATGGCACCGGCGAGAGCATATCTGTTGATTCGTGCCTTTCTGCGAGCTGATGAAGACGATGCCTCGATTCTATCTTCATGTTTCAAGTGAATTTCTGATTCTGAATCGGGAAGAGGGTGATAGGAACTGTTCTTGTTTGGATCCTGAGAAAATGAAGTGAGGGTCATTCTTGTGATGATTGATAACAGAAAAATGCCAGGGTTCTTTTTATGCGTGTGGCAAGAGCAGACAAGGAACACGCCTCAAGTGCCGATGTCTTATCTATCCACGTTTATAGTGCTTTGCTGTATTACGTAAAACTATTATTATATTAATGTTGTCTGAAAATTGACAAAATAGTGTTGCTAATTATTATCCACTTTCTGCGATGTCTTATCTATCCACGTTTATAGTGCTTTGCTGTATTACGTAAAAACTATTATTATATTATTGTTGTCTGAAAATTGACAAAATAGTGTTGCTAATTATTATCCACTTTCTTTTTCGTTTCTAATTTTCTTCCCTTTTTTTTCCCAACAGAAAATTTTTTGGTTTACAAGTTACCAAATATGACTTGAGCAATATCACTGGTTGTGTGTTTTGTTTTGTCTTCTTTTTTTCTTTTTTCTTTTTTCTCTTCCTTCCTTTTTCTTTTTTGGTATTTGTTTTGTGTTTTCGGCAAATACTGTAGAGGCTTCTTCTCTTTACCTTTTCAAGGGTACGGGTATTTTCTGGCATAAAAGATGGATTCTCTGCCTCATTCACTTCACTGATTTAAATTTAAAATTTGAGTTGAGATGTGATTTTATGTGAGAGTTTTATACTGTAGCAAAAAAGTTAGATGTGATTGTTTATGAGAGCTTTTTACTGTAAAAAAACTTAAATTCTAAACTCGAATCAGCGAAGTGAACGGGACCTAGTTTATATCTCATTTATAAGCTTTCCAAACATCTTTGACACAATTGTTACAAATATATTTGTTTCCGTCTTAGAAAGAAGAATTATTATGCTCAAAAGGTGAAAAAAGAAAAAAATCTTCATTACAAAAAAAAAATGTTGAATGAGATTAGCGAATGTTTGAAATTGTTTTTATTTTTATTTTTCACATTTTTTAAGAAAAAAAAGTAAAAACAGAAGAAAAATGGTATTTTACCCAATTAAAAATAAAAAATAAAATAAAAATAATTTTTTTAATTTAGTGTAAAATATAAGAGAAATAATTAACGACTTTTACACTATGTTTGGTAAGAAAAAAAAGTAGAAGGAAGGAAGAAGGTGGAGAGATTTTGGGAGAGAAAATGAAAATATAGGTTGTTTGGTGGCAGAGAAAAGAGAAATGACGAAAAAATAGAGTGAAAAATAATACATATTGGTCCCACTATTTTTCTTCTTTCCACAAGTGGGCGGAAAATATAATGGAAAATGGGGACAACTAATTAAAGTGAACAAAGTTACTAAACTAACCTTTTCTCTATCAACATCCTAGCAAAAAATTTAAGGGTATAAAAGTAATTTACGAGTAAGATTTTTTTTTCCTCTCAATTTAACTTCCAATACCAAACAAGTGAAAATAAGCTCATTTTCTTTCTATCTTCTCGTACTAAACAACATAAAAAAAATCAATTTCCTTTCTATCATTAATATTTTCCATCACTTCTATATTTTATTTCTATCCTATTTTCTTTCCTTCATACCAAACATAGCATTAGTCATTTTTTTATTTTTTATTTTTATTTTTTCTTCTCTCGAATAAAGAGAGGCACATTAATAAAAAAAATTTATACTGAAAGTAATTTTTTCATAAAACTATCAAAAATATTTTTGAAAATAATTTATATCTAAAATTAAAAATATTTTTATTTTTATTTTTATAAAAAAATAAAATTATTTTAAATTGAATTTCAAAGACACCCCTTGTTTTACTTCCCCCAAAACCTCGTTTTACTTCCCCCCAAAACCAGGCGCAAAATGCCACGCTACCAACACACGCCACTTTATAGTGGGTCAATGGACATTTATACGTGTCACGCGGGGAAAAAAGCCACCACTGCTGCTCGCAAATGGTGCAGGTTTTGATGGATTGATTGGATGATAGCAATTTCAAAAGGTTCATCATGTATGATTCAATTGGTTGATTGGTGGTTAACAAAAATGTCGGTTTTGACCTCTTCCCTATTCTGGAGTTAGGAAATGGATCGTTCCAAACTGAATGTGAAAAAACATGTCAATACATATCAAGGTAAAGATTACAATAATAGTGGTTATCAATCTAATAATGTAAAAATACCTTACTTGGTAGGATAAAGTTTTTTCTTTTATTTGTTTTTGAAGGAAATACGACAAAAGAAAATTCGATGACATCTCATATATATATATATATATATATATATTAGAGAGTATCACCAATGTCTCAACCATATTCACTACCTCTTAACCATTTTTTTTTGTTTTTCTTCCAATTTTAAAGGTCTTAACCATATTATTCTGTACAAAAACAATACGGAAACTTTCATATTTATCCATCTCGTTGATTGACTTTTGTTGAATCGTTGTATATTTCAAGCGTCTGAACTCTGAAATAAGCATATTCTCCAAATTCTCCTAAAGAATATAAGCATTATCCGACAAGTACTTTCCAAATTCTTGATAATAATAATAAATAAGTAGAAGGGAAAAAAAGAGAAATAAGTAAAGACTTGAGATGAATTAAAATTAAGGTTAATAGTTTATATAAGTTAATAAATAGGTTAAATTACTGTTTTTGTCCATAACTTATCTGGTTATAAATCATAACTTGACAAATTATTATCCATGATTCACAGTTTTTATCCATAAGTTGTCTTACTAAAAACCATAACTTGATAAATTTGTTCATAACTTATCTGGTTATGAACCATAACTTGACAAGTTATGACTTATTAATTTTTATAACTAAAAATTAGTTTATATACTTTCTTAAACTTTTCATATTAGCCTATTTTTTACTATTTTTGTAAACAAAATGGTATGAACATAACCCTCCAAGAAAATATTCTTTTAGCCTGCTCCAAGTGAAGATTAGCAGGTTCTATAAATAAATAGCCAATTGGGCAGGTAGTATTTTGGGCATACATTCGTCCACCAAAAGAAGTGCTTATCAATTTTTTTTTTTTTTAATAAATGACAACTTAAAATAGAATTATAATTAAATCCCAACGATACATATCAGATTTTTCTGCAACTTGGGGTTGGAATCAAAATCAAGTACGGACAATCACTTCTAACCATAAGTTTCCAAGAGAAAATAAAAAGGACAAATTGTTTTGAACTGACCACATGGATTTTCCAACTTATTAGTCCTTTCCCTTTTGCTATTATAAAGTCATGGGGCCCATCGTTATTTTGGACGCATTTTCACGTGATTAATTGATGGCAATGACGACGAGAAAAAATAGGTAATCTGAAGAGGCTCAAAATTCTTTTATGAAATGATTGCTTAATTTAAACTACATTAATAACAAAAAAAAAAAAAAAAAAAACTTTTTTTTAATATGATAATTATTGTCGTGCATTACATAATAAGAATAAATACAATTCAAATCTTATTATACATATTCACCACAAACAAGATAAAATAATATTGGCGTTTTGGGAAATTATGTGGACATATTCAAAAAATATATATTGATATATTCATTATATTCATTGTCATTACAGATATTTGGAACATTCCATATACTTTTAAGGGTTCACTCCAGAAAGACTTGATATCATGAATGCCGTGGACATTTTTATCCATAATTACATCCTACTATTAAATATAAACGATAAGGATGGAAATAAAATTATCCATAATTAGATTGCTTTCGTTTTGGTATGGTCAAAGGCAGAAATGCAATTAAAGTTAAACTTCGTAGCTGTTTTCTTTATTATCAGTTGACTGCATGAGACACGCAAATAAAGATGTTAGCAAAGGATATAATCCATCACAGGAGACTGTTCTTACACACGCAACGTGTAGAATTATAAATTTTCAGCCAAAAAAAAAATGTAGAATTAGAAATATAATATTGATATTTATTTTATTTTCTTAAGTTCAAAGCTATCCTAGACCAGATCTAGAAGGTCTAAGTTATTCATGATAAAACTTTAAGGAAAAAAGTTATTGATAAAATTTTAAGGAAAAAGTTATTGATAAAATGAATTGAAAGTCAAAATCAGGAATGAGACAATTCATACATTATATATCTAATAAAAATAATTAAAAAAATATACTAAAAAATAAAAAAAAATACATTATTGTGACTATTAGGAAAAACCAAATGAGTAGAGCATAGTTGAGTCCCTACCTAATTATTCTCACACCAACAATTTTATTTATCACCGAAACCAGTTATGCTGACCACAATATATAACACATGATTGTTGTGTTCAAGGTGTTAAAAGCCGTTAGAACCACCTAACAGCATAAGGCTTGTGTACTATTTCACCTTCTTGTGACTTTTTTCTTTTTTTTTTTCACCTTTTAACACATTAAAAAAAGAAAAATTTGTGCTCCAAATTGTCAAACACTAATAATTCAGAGTGCAGAATGCAATTAATCTTCCTTCTTTTTTTGTTTTTCCAACGTGCGGGGGTGTTAGTTCCTATGATAAGTTCAGGTGCAAACGTTGTATTTTGACTAAAGAATAAAGATAAGAGGATGGTTAAGGTATTTTCTTGAATTCTGAGCACAGTACTCTGTTTATATTTGTGTTTATTGTGCGGATGGAATCTACAAATCTAAACACTTTGAACTGTTTAAAATTTGTTCTAAAATAATTTTATTTTTTATATAAAAATAAAAATAAATGTGTTTGGTAATTTTATCAAGAGAGTATTTGTAATATAAAAAACTCATTAATGTCTGTCTCTTTTGCTCTGCTCAAGAGAGAAGAAAATGAAAAACGACTAAAAGTCATTTTTCATTTCTTTCTCATTTTACGCTAACTAAAAAATCGTTTTCATTTACGTTTTTTGTCTTTATTATGCAAAAAGCCGTTTTAAAAATGTTTTCATTTTTTTTCTTAAAAAACGTGAAAAGCAAAAACGGGATCAATTCCAAACACGGCCTTTGTTTATTGTATTGGGCCTTCTGGGAGCGTAATTATAAGGGAGAAAGAGAAAAATAGGCTAAGACTTAAGATAAATTAAAATTAATAGGCTAATAGTTTATATAAGTTAATAAATAGGCCAAATTACTATTTTCGTCCATAACTTGTCTGGTTATGAACCATAACTTGATAAGTTATTGTCCATAACTTATCTGGTTATAAACCATAACTTGACAAGTTTATCCATAACTTATCAGGTTATGAATCATAACTTGACAAGTTATAGTCTATTAATTTCTATAACTAAAAAATGACCTATATACTTTCTTAAGCTTTTCATATTGGCCTATTTCCCTAATTATAACTCACTAATTCAGCATATAAAAAGGGTTAAAAAAGATATTGCATATAGGAATTAAAATATAAAATGATTCACTAGTTTATATTGGCAGACGTTTAATGTATTTACAAAGGTATATACAGATTGGCTCCATCGTGGATAAATTTCAAGATTATCTACCAATTGGGAATTATCTTTAGATCTGTGCATTATCAATAAAATGAACAAAATCCGAAGCAAATTGAGAGATCCAGTCAACTGCAGTGCCACAAAAGATCTCCCAGAACCAGAGATCCAATGCAAGTACTGAGGAGAATATGAGCAATGCCAGTGTCTGGTACCGGTTCAATGGCCAACCTGAAATTTTAGCCATTGTCTTCAGAAATGGAAGGGAACTGCTCTTTAAATCTTTGTTTCGTATCGACCATGCTGTTATCCACCGTACACGAGAAGGGACCAGGTCGAACTCCTCTCTTAGCCGCCTTCCCAAGTCCGGCATGTGGCCACCCCCATAGAGTATGGCAATCCTGTTGTGGCCCTCGTCAAATGCCCTTTGAAGTGCCTCAATCGCAGCCTTGTTTCTCTCGCCGATAATGACCGACCCCTCTTCTACATCAGCCGTCACCTGCGTAAAGCTTCAGCAGAAAATACCTCTGCATCAGCTGATGGTATAAAGCAAGATTTGCAGCGAGTAAAACCTTAACTAATTCTCCTTATGTATAAAGCAAGATTTGCAGCGAGTAAAACCTTAACTAATTCTCCTTATGTATAAAGCAAGATTTGCAGCGAGTAAAACCTTAACTAATTCTCCTTATGTATAAAGCAAGATTTGCAGCGAGTAAAACCTTACCTAATTCTCCTTATTTTCTTCCAGCCATACTAATTGCAATGTTGGAGATGGATAAATGAATTCAATTCATGGTTTTTCCATAACCAAAGAATGAGTTTTCCCATAGCTTTGGGATGCCATAGAAGTCAAATAAACTGAAGCTAATAACATAGAACTCATAGAACTTGCAGGGAAAAGGAGAAGTTTATTATAGTTACTCACTCAGAAGTCAGTCTTTTTGCTAGGAATACTTTCATTGCAGCACCAAAATCTAGCCTAGACAAGGCTTCCAGCTCTGGGAACTCTGATGACTGGCTTCCGACATCAGCACAAACACCTCCAATAATGAGAAGACCAACTAGCGGCATTGGAAGCACCCGCGAGGCCCACAGAAGCTTGGATCTCCAAGGACCAAGGTCTTCTCGAATTGAAGCAGGTTGAATCATAGCTTTTGTGGATTTAAGGGTCATATCTCTTGCAAAGGTGAAAAAGCTTTCACCTTTTTCCATCTGAAAGATATGATTGAATATTATTGGATAGTAATTAGTACCGCAGTGTAATCTAACACAAATAATGAAAGAGGAGTATCTCTAGAAGTTTGTCATATCCCATATCTTTAGAACCCTTCACTAGAAAGGAAGAACCTTCGTCCGTTAACATTGTCAGAAACACCATAGTAAGAGAGAATATTTGGGAAAACTACTTTTGCAGTTGGAATATAAAAGCAACCCTGTTCATAGAACACAGGGAAGTAATGTGACTACTCAAACAGAAAAATAAAATTACGAGGAAAGGCTATCTATATCACCTAGCTCGTTAACAAGCATACCCCTTCATACTCCACACTATGTTAGTAACTTAGAAAGAGGCAAGCAGAGAGAATCTAACCTGCAACAGCTTGAAGGTCTCAAAATCTAGATCGGCATGGTACCAATTCTCTCCCTGGTAATCTAGACAGTCTAGTTGAAAATCGAGCATCAAAATTCTAGCCATCTGTCGCTGAATGCATCCAAGAATGTTAAACCCCCGTGAGCGTGAACTTTTCAGCTTCTTTGTGGCAGCGGGGTTTCTTCTATTCTCTAAACTCTCCCTGCTGGCCACCATTTCATAAAGAACACAATCATAGGACTCAAGTTCCTCTTGGAGGGTCTTAAAGTACCTGATACCACATACGAAGTTATTCAACCCACTATCATACGGAACAATCAAGCTATGGCAAAAATAGAGGGAGGGAAGATTCATCAAGTTTTCATCACAGGCAGAAGTCATAATCATCAACAAAGGAATTCCTAGGGAGAACTCAAGAAGATACTGTAACTCATCCCCTCAAGATAAGTTTCGATAACAACATCAAATATTATAGTTTTACCTTCCGCAAGTTTTATTTAGTTTTCCAATGCCTTCTTCAATTTTTAGTCTTTACATACGCCCTACGCTTAGAGGGATGTTCTGCTCTCTTTAAAAACACCTAGTTTTTTCTTAGGGATTTATTTTAGAATTAGAATTTATGTTATTTTAGGAGTAGTGTTAGTTTTTCATTTTCAATTTAGACGTTTGTAATTGTATTTATTGTAACGTCCTATTAAATTAAATGTTTAGTCATATTTTGTTAGAATGACCTTGGGCTGATGATAATAAGTTGAGATATTCATATGATATTCATATAGTAGGGAATAAATATGTCTCTAGACATAGGGGAAAAAATTACTTTGATTCCTGCCAAGATGAGCCAAGCCCTAACTATGGGTCCCATGATCATAAATCTTATTGAGAAGGATGAAAGTAACAACGACCGACGAGACAAATGACAGAGTTGTTTAGACTCAATCTTTTCCCGAGCTTATTGCTGATGAGCCATCGTTCTCCATTCCAACAAATCCAATTGCTCAAAATCTTAGTTGAAAACTTATCCATAAAGTTGCATAATGAACTTCCTAAATTTTCTCTTAGTTCCTTTGGATCTATTGCATGCTTACTTGAATTTCCTTCCAATTATGGGATTGGTTTTCAATGAGGTAGAGTGGTTTACTTATGTGGTGATCCAAAGCCTCGGTCGTCGAGTGTTTTTTATGTGAAAAGATGGAGTCTCTGTCTAATCTAGTATTCTCACATGATAGTAGTGCTGGGGCTGACAACATTATTGAAAATGCATGGCAAGTAAATAGGTTTCTTTCACAATTTACTTGTTACCTGACAAATAAGACTATGGACTAAATTTTCTTCAGAGAAAATACAATGTATAACCCTTAGATACACATAGTATCTCTGTAAAGAATTTTATTGATTGATGATTCTATCTCTGTAGCTCTTGTTGTTTATCATTAGATGGCGACTATTCGATATCCCTTCGATTACTATTTTGTGAGATGCGTTTCCTTCATATCCTTTGAAATTCGTATATTTTGCTATTATAGTTTTCTATTTTGCCTCTTTGATTTACATGCTTCCAGAGAAAAGTCAGTATCATTCATCTTCTCCTTAACCGCTTTAAAGCTAATACATTGGTCAATTACTTAACGTGCCTTAATTCTTATCTCATTCATATGCAAGTGAAGTTTCGTTAGCATTCTTTAATTGTCCACCACCAAATTTTTGAAGTAAAAACTTTATCTAGAATTTGACATTTAAACCTATATATCTCTCAAACTACTACCCAAACATTAACTAACTCATCATAAAATGGAGTGAAGAGTTAAACATACTCTTTATCCGCGATGTGAATCGTCGAAACCAAATCCACCTGCAAAACCCAATTAAGAAACAAAACCCATCATTCAAAAAGACCAAAAAAAAAAAAAACAACAACAACGAAGCCAAATACAGAAAGATCAAATACCTGACGAAAAGGCTGTAAGAGAGCCCAAGGGAACCTCTTTCTGTAGCTAACAACGGCGGTCTGTAATTCGCCATTTCCGCCATGGACGCCTTGCTTGAACCTCATGAAATCCGCAATGGAATTGCTCCGCAGAAACTGCTCGGCCGAGCCATCCTCGAGAGAAGAAGGAGGAGATTGAGCTGCAGACGACGCGCGGACCTTCGAGGAGGATGAGTAGAGAGGCTTCTGATATCTGAGGATTCTTCTGGAAGATTCCAAGGATTTGGGAGTGGAATGGATATTATTATCAGAGAAACTGTTGGAAGTGGAAGGAAATGAAGATGTGGTGGTGGAATACAGAATTGATAGTGAAGAAGTTGAGACCATTCTTCTTCAAATTCGTTTTTTGTTTTTGGATAAAACCACTGGGTTTCTCCACCCAAGATTTGAAGACCCCCAGACACCACAACCTCTTTTTTCTGATTGTTTCGGTTAACTCTCTGCCCTCATTACGTTTTTTATTCTTTTGTTAAAGGATTTTTTTTTTTTTTGGTTCTTTTTATTTATTTATTTTTCTCTAAATTTGGATACGGCTTTTTTTTTTCTTTCTTTCTTTGTGGGGTTTCTTTTTCTTTTTATGGCTTGCACGCAAAGTAGCAAATGAATGAAAATGATGAGATATTTATTTTGACCTCGTCGAGTTTTCAATTTAAATTAAAATATAATTTTATATGAAAATTTTTAATTGTAATAGAAAAAAATTAAATATAATTTTTTATTATAATTTTTAACTGTAGTAAAATTAAAATTTAAAACTCAAATCGGTAAAATGAACGATGCCTTTAATTATAGCCGCATTCAGTTCGTCCATTCGAGTTTTCAACTCGAGCTAAGCAAAACTGAAAGTGAAAATTTAATTGGTGAAATGAACGAGGTCTATAATTAGCACTGAAAACACTGTTGCTTTTATGCAATGAGTTTGATGGAGATATTTATTTCCAACAAAACAAAAAGAACGTTTATTGTTCCGTTCGTTTCACCAATTTGAGTTTAAAATTCGAGTTTTACTTAAGTTTTATTTGTTTTTCGATTTATTTCTTCCATTTCGTAATATAACACTTTGTGTTCCGTTTCAGAATTCTTGAATTTGTGAATGATTTTCACCAATCAACTTATCAACTCCCAATTAAAATGTTCTGACAGCCAATCTAATACTGAATTGTCAAAAACTCGATCCAATAAGAAGAAAGATCCCAATTTCTTAACCTCTTTCAGAGAGCCATGTGCTCTAATTTTGAGATGTTTTCTTCATTGAGCAAAAACACGGAATGGTTCAAATATTTCTCTAATCACTACAGATGATGCAGTCAAAAGATTTTGAACTGAAATATCAGAATTTCGAAGCATAATCAAGACGCAACAAATTGCAAATTTCCGCATGTGGACAAACACTGATGGCCATCAACCAACTAAACCAAGTGCAATTCTTCTTTTTCTAACCAAAAACAATATATATATATATATATAAACTAAACTAGCTTGCAGTCCAAAGAAACGGCATGAAAGAGTTCATAGTTCATACCCACTTTCACGCAACCTTTGGAAACCATGCAAAATCACGTTGATGTAGTATCTAATAATCTAATTGCCATATAAATGCAACTATTCGGTTCCAAAATACAAGATGAATACGTAGCAAAAAAGAAACAAGATGAATAGAACTACTCAAAAAACCACATTTATTGATGCTGAAAAGGAGGCAGTAAAAAACAATGAATACAATGAGGAAAAGCAGAAACATCTACAGCATATAAAATGATGAATGACAAGAATTAGTCCTTCATGTTATCAAGACCGCAGCATCTCAGCTTCTGAATCATCCGCAGCAAGACCACGCGATCATGTGGATCGCATCAGAAGAGAGGCCTGTGGAAAGAATTGCTTCTGTTTAATTTGAATGAGACTTCTGTCAGGCTGTGAAAAGAATAAACTCTTTTTCCTTTAAGACTTAACTTAAGCTGGAATCGATCTCATTGGGATAAAAGCTGAATTCCTGCTTCTAAATCCTCTAAGGTGATTGTACGTAGTTCTTCAGTGTCAATGCAGTCAAAGTTGAGCCTCAGGTCCAAGTTTTCTCTGGCATTTACTAGGATTGGGTCTACTAAACCTCCATTCATCTCCATACGCTGCTTTTCGGTTGTTTCTCTCTGTATCAATCCTGCAACAGCTTCCACAGTGCAGGAAGCATGCAACTTAAACCCGTACAATAAGCTATCCTCTGCTTGGTTATTCATCTTAAGATGGAGAATAGTCGCTAATTCTTCCGAATTGAAGTCATTGAAGTGGAAAAACTTGGTCACCCTTCTGCAGAAGCCTTCATTTGAAGCAATTACACGTTTCATTGGTTCACTATACCCAGCAAATATGACCACTATTTTTCTGCTGTCCATAACAGACATGATCTCTTCTAATGCTTCCAAACCATAGTCCTTATCATCTGCCTTCTGCATGGGTATCAATCGATATGCTTCATCCACAAATAGAATTCCTCCCTCAGCGTCCTTTATCTGTGCAGCGTTGGCAAAAATAATCACAGTCAAGTCAAGTTTACTATTTAGTTCTAGATTGATAAACAATGACCATAAAAAAAGGCAGAATGCTGTACCTTCCTCCTAGTCTTCGGTCCAGTATGACCAACAAATTCGCCAACCAAATCAGTCCGTTGTACTTCTGTTACCTTGTCAGTAGGTAGAATTCCCACCATGTGGAGTAATTTTCCAAGAACACGGGCGACCATGGTTTTACCTGTTGATTTCACAATGATTAAACCCCAGTTTTTCTAGCCAACCAAATGAGAATGTTACATGACAAGAAAGGCTATATTCACATTTATAATTGGTATACAAATGAACGTGTTCTTTTTTCAGTTACTTTTTCGCCACCATCACACAACACCAAGATTTTTTATTATAGAAATTTATCTTCTAGAAAGGATGGTATTCTGTATAGAAAATGGGAAATATCAACATTTGTACCTGTTCCGGGGTTACCAAGGAAAGCCATATGAGGTGGTCTTCGGGTGCCAACTTTTAGGCCAAGAGCCCTACGCCTCTCATCCAAAAGCATTCCCCTTGCCCATCTTCGTAATTGTATCTTGAGGTCATTCAAGCCCACTATGTTTGATAACTCATTTTCAAGTTCATCCATCTTAGCTTGAGTTTCACTGCATGCTTCAATTGCTCTTCTCTTTCTCTGCTCTTCAAGGTGACAGACTAATAGCTCCCTCAACTTTTCACTACCAGGGCCTTTTGACAGATGGTTTATAGGTGTCTTTCCCTCCTACAATTACAGCTATGTCAACTATTAGCATTTACTCAGTAATATCCTAGTAAATCAGTATATGCAAATAAATGCAACCAACTATACATTGTCCTCAGCACAGCAATCAGCATTGTACTCTAGCAATGTCTTGACAGTTGAGAAATCTTCCGAACGAAGTGAATACCAGACAGCAAGGTGTAGCGGTGTCATCCCATTCTGCATGGACAGAAATAGAAATTCATAAACTGGCACCGCTCACATCCATGTCAAAAACTTGAAACTGAATCATAAGTAGATAGTCACGTGATAAGAAAAAGTACATTAGCTTTGGCTTCAATAAAAGCACCATGAGCAAGAAGTAAACGTGCAGCATCATTGCATCCATTCTTTGCTGCCATGTGCAAAGGAGTTTCTCCGTACTGCAAAGTTCAATTATACAGACACCCAGTAAAGAAAAGTTCAATACAAATAGCTAGAAGTCCAATAAATAAAGTTCAGTTAGTACACATTCTCACAAGTGGGAAAAAAGACGAACCATGTTCTTGGCTTCCAACTCAACCTTCTCCGGCCCTGGAAACTCAAGAAGAAATTTAACTATATCGGCCCTGTTGTTACCAGCAGACACATGGAGAGGGGTTTGTACCATCTGCATTTTAAGTACGAGCATAAGTCGGGAAACAAACAAACAATAAAGATCTGCAGATCAAGAAATAAAAGCTGTGTTTTTGGTTTTAGGTTCAAAAGCTATGATAAACAACAGTCTTGGCATTTAACGTTGATTTTATTTTCTTTTGTTTATGTGGATAAGTTTCTTACTGGAGCATAAATAGTAAAGGCCAACTCAATAACAAAGTAAATTGTTGGACGGTTTCATGTCTACATGTCATTGTTAGCAGGAACATAAATCGAGGGACAGAAAGTTAAAAGTTAAAACAAGAAAGTGATATGTGGATAATTGCTACATTGTTGACAAATTCAGTTTCCCAAATGACATGACCAAACCATCTTATCAACTTATCAGCTGTTTAACAAAGTAGCTCTCTGTGTATAATCTCGTCCGCTCACAAAGAATGAGCAACCTATACCGAAAATTCCAATTCACCGTATTGCATTTTCGCATATTACATAGTCATTTCAGCATTATATAATCCTGCTCTATAGCATTGGACCAAGCCATCTTCCATGCCACCTTTTCAAATTATAAATTGAGGAATATGAAGACATAAACCACTCTCTAGCAATCATTAGAACAAAGTTAGCTTAAATTTATTAACTCTAGTAACTACAATACTAGTCTCTAGCTAATTCACTAAAGTCAGCACATTAGATTCTTCATTCCCGCCAATTGATGTGGTGAAAGGAGGGGGAAAAAAAAAAAAACTCCTTTCTTTACACAAAGCGATTGCAAATTTTCCTGATATAATTCTAACCACAAATTGGACAAAACATATGACCAAATAACCTAATTCGCACAGATTACAAAATCCAACTCCGACAAAACCTAGTCATCCAAAACCAAACAAATAAATTCGACAAGAGATGGAATCGCATAACGAGAAATCGGAAAATCCAGATGAAGGAGATCATACAACAGGATTTCTCTCGTTGAGAAGAGAGGGATTTTCGCGAAGAAGCCTCTGAAAACCGAGAAGATCGCCGGAGTGGGCGTATGAATGGATTGTGGCGGGTTTGGCAGATCTTGAGCGGTGAATCTGATCGCGAGACCTCTGCATCTCTGCGCTCTCTCGCCAGAATCTGGATCGATCGTCGGAAATCCAGAGAAAACGAAAGAAAGAAAGAAAGAGAAGAGAAGAGAGATTTTCTGGGAAGGAATTTAGGCGATGAGAAAAAGAAAGAGAAATGGAATGGACTCACTCCCCCCGCCCCTCCTCCGCGTCCGACTCTGGCGTTGCGTCCGAATCTAACACGCGCACACACACACACACTCTCAGACTCTCTCTCTCTCTATAAATAACGCATTCCATGTAATAAGTCTCCTCTCGATTAAAAAAATAAATCACGTGTAATGTATAATATCTTTTATTTAGGATTATTATTATGTGCGGTGAACGTTAGGTATATTTTTAGTTTGTCCTTTAAATTTTAAAAGCTCTAAATTTATCATTTAAATTTTAAATCATTTTTCTTAACTTTTTTATTGGAATTTTAAAAACATATAGAAAAAAATAATGTGGTGTTTTTGTTTAAATTTTTATTAAAAAAATGGATAAAAAATACATGACCATATTTAATTTCCTTTTTTTTAGTTGATTTTAACATAAATACTTATAAAGATGAGGTTCATTTAAAATTTAAAGAGCAATGTGAATATTTTAAATATTTAAAGGAAAGAATGAAAATAACTCTAAAATTTAGAGACACGAGTGAGATTAACTCTTTAACACCATTTTTAATTGGACCTTAATTGTAATGAATTTGTAATGTTAGGGAGCCAATTGTAAACAACAACAACAAAATTAGAGACCAGATTACAAATTGCAAAAAGTTAAGGGCCATGCTATAAAGATTTAAGGGCCTGTTCTTTTAGAGTGTGACTTGAATGTAGTTCTTGAGTTAAATTTTATAACTTGAGTTTGTATTTGGTTATGTACATTTGAGTTATGGTTTGAGATAAGAATCTTTTTGAGTTTGTGTTTGAGTGAGTCAAAACTTAAATTTGTATTTAGATAGTATTTTAATAAAAACTCAATGGTGATGAAAAATTTTAATAGGGTATATGGGTGGGATTTTATTCATCTTTTCGTTGTCAACGCATAGAAAAAAAAATCATCTCAATCAGGATTAAAACGAAAAAGTTATAGCATTTTTAAAAATAAAAAAATATTGTTCATTAATTTGAGTCGAGTTTCTGAACTCAAGTTGAAGGAAAAACTTGAACTCGAGTTTTAATCTCGAACTCGAATTTTAATCTCAAACTCGAATTTAAACTCGAGTTCAAACTCAAGTTCAAACTTAAAAGAACATGAACTTAAATAAAGTTAAAATTCGAGTTGTATTTTTTTAAGTTTTTAAGGCTGCCGAACACACCCTAAAATTTTGTATGAAATTAGATTGTTTTGGTGCGTGTTTATTTTAAGCACCCGCCACTTTCCGTTGGATCATGGCTTAGCTGGAGCCAACTGCCATTTGGATTTCCCTACGTCAAACACACATGCGTGCCTCCTTGTTATTGTTTCTGATCGAACAATATTAAGTTGGTGGTTCTAAAAAATTAACATTATGACACTAAATTCGTGTTAAATAAAGGCAGATAGAGAGATGTTCCTTTTCTTTTAAGAAAAAAGTGCTCTGTATAATTTTTTCAAATTTACCAAAGAAAATTAGAGTAATTATAAAAAATACTAGTTTAAACCGCGCGCATAATTGCTGGTTTTTGTAGAAAAATAAATAGCATTATTTATATTTAATTTTTTAAAATATTTCCTTTGTATAATATTAGGCAAAAACGATTGAAAAAGAGTGAATTAGTAAGAAAAAACAAAAAAGAATGGTTAAAAGAGATAAATAAAACAGAATGGAGGACAAGGAAAACAAAACCAAAAAGAAAGGATGAGTTTTTTTTTCTTGTTTAATTTTGATTTTTATTTAATTTGGTGCGATTCTTATTTTATTTTAGTGTATTTTTATATGATTTATTTAAATTATTTATATCCAAATATTATTAAAAATCTAGTGTAAAATAATATTAACATGAATAAAATTGAACAACAAATCAATTCAAAATAAACGAATAACAATAATAACAATAATAATAAATCTAAAATGATTTTAGGCCGTCGGATTAGGCGTTACATGTACTCGCATCAGTGTACCCACCATGACCTGCTGAGCCAACGATAGTGCGACATGTGGCCTGGCTACTGGACATTCCATCCTCGCTTGATTCCGTGTGGCGTGTTCTACGTGAGTTCGTTTCTTTCAACTAATGATATTTGACACATGTTAAACTAAAAATAAAAGCTAATCTTAAGCCGACAAGTGGATTCTAATGAAAATAACTGCCAATGCTAACTTGACACGTGACATTATTCCCCTCTCTTTTCCACCCTCGCATCAATGTTAAAGACAAAAAAAAAAGGTGTAAAACGTTTGGGCGAAATGTGATTGGTGTAGGATAAGGATTTTTCTTCTCCCGCCTCAAAAGGTGTGAGTTGCACATATTTTGCTCTAATGATGTTAAAAAAATTTCATAACCCATTGATGTTTGAGTTGGGTTAAGGTGGTGCGGGGTGGGTTGGGGGGGGGTCGGTTTCAACATTAAAAAACTCAAAGACTCAAAGTTCAATCCAACATTCAAAGTTTATCATCAAATAGAAATAATAACTTCAACATTCAAACAGATAGAAATTCAAAGTTCAATCCAACATCAAACATGAAGCAAAGTAGTCCATCCAACATCAAACATAAAACAAATATAAATTAGTCTACACTCATAAATTAGTCTTAACATAAAGTAAACATAGAGGATTAATTCAAACATGCAGAAACTAGAGAGTAGAAATGAGTTGCCTACTTATGGTTAAATATTAGAGGAGACAAGTTAGAGTACGGGTTAGGTTGGAGTGTGCGGGACATTATAGGCTAAACCCACACCTCACCCCCAAACTTCAGGACAGACATTGAATGAGCTGAAAAAAAAAATAATACTAAAAATTACATTTTTTTAAGTTAGGTTAGGGTATAAGGGGTTGGGCCTGCAAGTTTTACGGGTTTATATGAATAGCCCTAAATGTAATATCAACCTGAAAAACGGATTTTGCCTTTGTAATGATAGAAAGATGATTAATTCGATTGTCAATGTACTTTTCTGCTTTGTTCAAAAAATCAGCCTTAATTTCTATCAAGTTTGGCGATTTTCTTCAGCTTCAATGAATGATCCGAATTAATGTTTGATTATGCATCCAAACCCCAAACTGTGCCAGCATTCCTTTCTTGAATTCATTTTTATTAGGAGTTGGAGAAAGTTGTCTAATGTCGTTTAGAACAATCAATTATCAATTGTCGAAGTAAGTAAATAAAAGAAAAGAAAAACACACATGTTTTTGGCTATGAGCTGACAAAAGCTGTTCACCGTCCAAATAATGCATTACACTTTGCTGGATTGCAATTGGACCCTATTATTAATTATTAGGCCCGTCCATTTCAATAAATTCAAAATTCAAATTTTATTATAGAAAAAAGTTCTCAAAAATAATTATATTTAATTTTTTTTATTACAGTAAAAAATTATCATATAAAGTTATATTTTAACTCAAATTAAAAATTCAAATCAGCGTACTAAACGGACCTGGGACATCACGTTATTCCCATTGGTTTGGAATTTTCACATTCTTATTATGCTTACAATGAATTAATATCAATATTACTCATTGTTTGGACCCAAAACTCAATATAGTATTCAACCGGAAAAAAAAATTTCCCCTTAAATTATTGTTCCGGAATGAGTTAAGTTGATTCTGTTCGATGTATCATGGAAAATTGGTGACTCCTCAATCCCACAAGCTTTATCTGATGGTAGTGTATTGACTTCATATTGTGGAGTCCGTACAAAACAAAACTTTCGGGGACATTTAGTTGAAGAATTCAAACCATTATTTAAAATACACGTAAATCAAAAATGATTCTAATCACATGATTTTAATCCATAAACTAAACGTTTACGATCTCTTTGGTTTTGGAAAAGAAAAGGATTCGAAGCAAGAGAGAAAAAAAAAAGAAGGATAGAGATAAAGATAAACAGTAACACGTGGAAAATGAGTGGAATTTGAAATTGTGATATTAGAAGTTAATATGATTTATACCCTCTGAAAAATGTTAGAAACAATAAGCAATTTTCATTGAATTAAAATAGCATATTCAATTTTGGTGTTCTATTTCTTCTCCAAATATTAAAACCATGCCTTGTCATTTTATAATTCATTTCCTTAATTAATCATTTAAGCTTATTATAATCCTTGACCATTTTTGTTATGAATGATAACAAGAAGAGCCTCGTTTCATCCGCATCTTATCCAAGACTAATAATTTATGCGTTGTTTGTTTCACAAATTCGAATCATAATTTAAATTTTTTTATTTATTTTTTGCTCATAAAAATGTCAATTTTTGCTCAAATTTACAAATTACATATAATAATTTTATACTAAAACTGTAAGTTCGGATCGGACAAACAGGCGGGTTTGAAGCTCATTTTTTTGACCCGACTAGATTGCGCCAACTTTTCCCTCACTCAGGTCGGGTAAGCATTGCCTATCCTCTTTTATGGCCCGCCGGGTGCGATTTAGACATTTAAGGTGCCGCCCGAGTGGAGTGATTTTAAAATTTGAGAAAAATATTATAAATAATTAAGTATGGTTGTAACTTTTTTATTTTCTTTTTATTAATTAAATGATAATTATTTATTATTTTAATAAATTAACATAAATAATACTTTTCACTCTCTCCAGAGGTATTTTTATTTTTTTCCCTCTCAATTTAGACTCTATTTTGGACTAATTTAAGATCAGTCTTCCAACTGATGGTTCTAAGTTAACGATGAGTAGAAGCGACATGCGTCAATCGTCATCTTCCTCTTCCTCTTCCACTTCCGTGCCAAACTCACCAAATCAAAAGGCGACACGAGGACACAGACCCACAACGCCACGTGGCACTAATCGAAAGCAGATGAGGTTGCTTTAACGTGTGGTCATCACAGTCCTCCGCCCACCTAGATCTCCTCCGAATCTCTTCCTCCTCACTCGGATATTTCTATATCATTGTCACCTAAACAATAATGCAATATCGAAATGAAAAAAGAGAAACCAGAATTTCAATGTACAAAAGTAACAGAACTCCCAAGAAATTTGGAGCCACTTTGATGAACCTTTTCCTTTAGTTAGAGTTTATTCTCTGTCGTCTACTCCTAACTATGGCCGCAGTTACTAGGCTTCACATATGCCCACATGGCTTAGACCGGTTCAGCTTCAAGGATCAGCTCAGACCCGGTCCAAGAATCCTCATCGGACCGGGCTTTCGTTATGGGGTCCGGTTGAAAGGGTGCCGGGCTTATAGGAGTGAGGAGGATCAGTTGGGAGAGAAAGAGATGGAAAGTGCGAGAAAGTCCGGGAAAGTGAAGGAAAAAGAAACTTTAAAATTGAGAAAAGGAAGTGGGTTTTGGAGTTGTTTGAAGTACGCAGTTACAAGAGGTTTTGGCTTTGGTCCGAGGAATGATGATGAGTATAGTAAGGCTGTGGCCAAGTTAGAGGAAGTGTTTTCCTCGGTGAGGTTTTTTTTTTTTTTAATTTTTTTATTATTTATTATTATTTTTTTGAGTTTTCAATTATTAATTACATGTTTAAGTGAGTTTTATTAGTAATAATAATAATTTTTTTTTTCAAATTTGCTTACTTGGATTATGTAACTCTTTGACTATTTTTAGCAGTGTAACAATTCATTAAGCAGCTTCAGTTCTTAATCAGCTCATCTCTTTGATTATTGAGAAATTCTGGATGAAGTAGTTGAGATTATATCCTTGTCGTGGTTTTTACATGCTTTCAGCTTAATTGGTTCTTTTTTTTTTTTTTTAAATTTCTGATCTTAATTATTTTTGTTCATATGTTTTAGTTACAAAGTTTAGAGCTTGGAGGAAAATCTGCATATTAGATTTTGTTTATTTATTATTTTTTTTACTAGTGCAGTTCCCCACCATATATCAGGAACCTAATCTAGATATGTTATGATAGTCTTGTTAATAAGGATTTTGATTGCCGACAAACATTTTACTACTTGTAAATTAGGAATTTCCAATTGAGAGAATAGTATTATCTTTAAATTCAACTTACCTCTTCCGTCTCCTAAAAAAACGACCAGATTGCCATCCAAATTGGAAGATATATTGTGACAATGATGAGTACTGGAGTTATACTAGGAGTTGGATTTCAGTTGTCAGGTAAAGCAAACGTACAACTTTAAGTACATTTCTAGAAATTATTTACGAATGATCCCCTGTTGATGCTTTGATTGATGACTGAATTTCGTAAAGGCGGAGACAACCAGTTGAATACCTTAATCTGGTATAGCTGGCTTGGAGGGATTATTATTGGGACTATGATAGGTGCTAACATGGTTTTAGAGGAACACTGCCGTGCCGGTCCGCGTAACGTTGTCGTAACCGGAAGGTACTGTCTCTTTATATTTATTGTCGATGAGCATCCATGGAAATGTTTATTTCCTGTTTTCAGTGTTGATAGCTAAAAACTTGTGTGATTTTATGCTTGATTATCCAATTCAGTGTGCTTGAAATTTCGTTTCTACAAAAATGTTCACATGAAAAAGCATTTCAAGTATGTCGCTAGAGATATCTAATGTGGTAATCCAAATGTTGTTGCTTGTTTTGATTGGCTTGTGCAGTACTAGGGGACTTGGCAAAGCACTTGCTCGTGAATTTCTTCTCTCTGGAGATCGCGTGGTTGTTGCTTCTCGCAGGTTGTTTTCTCACAAATGTTAAATGTTTTATTTTAAACCTTTTCAGTCCATAGTTTCATGCTTTTGTTTGTTATACATGTATTACTTTTCTAATCAAATGATGAAATTATGTGAAGGCAGCCCCGAGTCTGTGCAAACAACTGTCAGGGAGCTAGAGGAAAACTTGAAGGAGGGTATAATCGCCGCTGGTAGCTCATCCAAAACAAACCTGGGCCGGGCAAAAGTTATCGGCATAGCATGTGATGTTTGTAATCCTGATGATGTACAGAGATTGGCGAATTTCGCTGTCGGCGAACTTGGTTCTATTGATATTTGGGTGAGCGTCTGCCGTAATACTTGTTAATTGTCATTAGTATCTCGTTGTTATCTCTCTAGATATTTGTTGAGATTTTCACTGGCTGTTTCAAACTTCATGTTCCGTATATCTCATTCTATATCTATTCTAGTTTCAATTTCTTTGAGAATAGTGTTTATTTGTACCAAATTTCAAGGGAAAGAAAATAACATTTTGCTTCGTACTCTAGTGTTTTTCGTTAATAACGTTTCTCTGTGTTCTCACGTAAACGTTTAGTTGTACTTGTTTAGAAGCTGATGAATAGAGTTGATGACATCCACTTCTGCTATGATGATGAATTGAGTTCTATCTAATTTGTTTTCAAATTTTTCAGCATCAAAATTGCTCACTTATTGTTTCTACCTTTCCTGCAAATCGCAAAAAATTTCTGCTGATCCTGATATTTTCTATGATTTAATTATACCATTGGACAGATAAACAATGCCGGCACAAACAAAGGATTTAGACCCTTGCTTCAGTTTACTGATGAAGACATTACACAGGTATTGATGACTGGCTCTTTATTTGAGTTGTTAAGTTTTGTAGTGGCTTTTTTTTTTTCCTCCCTGAACAGCTTTCCCTCCTCCCCTATCTTTTTTGTAACTTACGCAAGAACCAACAGTGCCAGTCTTGCCAAAATGCTGTAAAGTTTTGCAATTATAGTGGAAGAAATTTATGTGCCGTTCGGTTTGTAGTTTGAACCCCGATTCAAACCTTTTTGCTGCAATGTTTTCTCTTACAAAAATTTGAATTTTTGTTCAAATCTATAAACCAAACGGGAATTAATTACACAACCAGGGATAGACTCTGATTCTTACTTGCTGCTGCTTTGTTTAGTACTAGTATCAATATTAGCTTATAACCATATAGTCATTCCCACTTCCTCTATCTTCTTCTTTCTGTGTGTGTTTGGACCCAAAAAAAAAAAGAAATGTTAACAGGGAAGTTTTTCCCAAGGCTTCATATCAAATAGAATCTCCTCGAAATGGTTCAACTGATTTAACTTTTGCTTTTGTGTTAGATTGTCTCGACAAACCTGGTTGGCTCCCTACTCTGCACGCGTGAAGCAACGCGTGTAATGAGAAACCAAGCTAAGGGAGGGCACATATTTAACATGGACGGGGCCGGTTCTGGGGGATCGAGTACACCTTTGACAGCTGTGTAAGTTCCCTTTGTTGTGATGTAAAATAGCTTTCCGCTCCTGGAGCCCACTGAAGATATCAACTTAACAAAAAAGAATTTGTAATTCTTATTTTTGATGAGCGATAATGATATGATTACTTTTGCTGGTTTTTCTCTTTTCCATGCAGATATGGTTCAACAAAATGTGGGCTTAGGCAGCTCCAAGCGTCACTTCTTAAGGAGTCAAAGCGATCAAAAGTAGGGGTCCACACAGCATCTCCAGGCATGGTTCTTACAGATCTGCTCCTGAGGTATGTTAGATGCATCCTTGTATCTATATTCCATAATTTACTCGGATTCACTTATATCGCTCTGTTAAGTTAACCGTTTGGTTTCATTCAAATTGTTTTTTAAATATCTGATCACTTTGTTTTCGGTGGAAATGCTTGTGTACTGTTCTATGATCATGCTAAAAGCTGATAAATTGACCTTCTGTAGTGGTTCAACCATACAAAATAAGCGAATGTTCAACATCATCTGCGAACTTCCTGAAACGGTTGCTAGAAGTTTAGTTCCACGCATGCGAGTTGTAAGGGGAAGTGGGAAGGCAATCAACTACTTGACCCCGCCTAGAATCTTAATTGCTTTAGTTACTGCATGGCTGCGACGAGGACGCTGGTTTGATGAACAGGTGATTTTGTTACTTATGAAGTCTAAGATCCTTATCATAGCAAATGTGTTGCACGTCTATGTCTACGGTTCTAGTCTAATGCTCCTCTTCCTCTTTAAGGCTAGGTCCTATTTTCATATGATAACTAACTGTTTGAGTCATACATTGTAGGGAAGGGCATTATATGCGGCGGAGGCAGACCGGATCCGCAACTGGGCTGAAAACCGCACTCGCTTCTCCTTCACAGACGCAATGGAGATGTACACGGAGAACACTTGGTTGTCCGTCTTCTCGCTCTCTGTTGTGTGTGCCTTCATAATACTTTCTAGCACCAGCAGCAACTACCCTGGCACTTAAAGGAGTTTTCGCGCCATCAAAACCATGAAGCACTGGGAAAATTATTGGTTAAATGGAATGACTTGAGGCTTAAGCAACAGAATAGTGTGAAACAAATGCAGTTTTTTCACCCTGCATCCTTCGGTCAACTAAAACCCACAGTGCTTATTGCTTTTAATCACCAATCTATATGTTTTGACTTTACCCATTTATAAGCTTTGTGGGCTCTGTACACAGAAAAGCACTAATACATTATTTATGTCATCATTGAAAGATGTTCCTTATAGATGCTTATAACATGTAAAGACTTGATTGATTTGTAGTGAAATCCAATTTCAGTTTCTTATCCTTTTGTCTTTTCTGGATTTTCTGGAGAGCCAAACAAGAATTGTATCATAATTTATGACCACAAGATTTGAAAATCGAATGAGTAGGTTGGATAAGTTGGAGGTGAATAAAAAAATAAATAAAATTTTGTCGTTTCATTAGTGTTCCATTGCTTCCAAAAATTAAAAATACAGAATCTACGACTACCCATTTAAACATTCCAAATAGTTGACCGTTATAACGGCAGTTGCAATTCATTTGTTGCAAATTAAATAATAAAAAGTGGCATAGCTGTATACAGCTGAATATATGCCTTTTAGTCAGAGAAAGCGAATGTCATGGCACTAATTATGAGAAGAGAAGACATGAAATAATACCAACTAGCATGTGGAGTCCCCACGGCTCCTTTGCCTACCCATGAAAAGGATTTTATTTTATTTTTTCATAGAAAGCCCAAAAAAAAAAAAAAAAAAAAAAATCTTGGGCATAGGCCACACGACAAGGGATGAAACAGTGGGACCATGTCTCATGAGATGTCGTTTTTCTTTTTGCTACTTCTCATGAGATGTCTTTGATGATAATCGGCATGAATGTGGAGGTTAGGCTATTAGTGTTTGTTTCAACAATTCTGAACAACAGATTATGAGTTAAGACGTGCAATAATTGTATAAACAGACACATTAACATCGTCACAAATTGAACTACTACAGCCCACGTGTGACAACTTTTAGGGGACGTTTAGTTCATAAATTCAGAATTATTCTCGATTTACATGTGTTTTTTATGAAAAAAAATATTATAACAAATCACGAATTATGATCCGAATTATGACACGGATCCTTACTCCAAACGCACCCTTATTGTTTGTCCAAAACTCACGGCATGTAATGCTCATTGCTTAAAACTAGTTGTATTGTTTCTTTTGGTTTGTGTTTTACGTACATGAAGGTGATAAGTATATCTATTGTATATTCAATAAAGTACAAGCAGTGTTGGGATTCAGTTTGAATTTTTGTCATTACTCAAATTCAAATTCGAACTATGTTAAGCCGTATTCTTTTTTCATAGTAGAAAAAGGTTTACATTTTATACAATACAGAATTGAACTCACGTCTTCTTAAATTTAAGTTCACCGCATCGTATTTCATGTTGTTTGATCTAATAGTTATTGGCGTCGGCGCAAGCTACCTAGCAAAATGTTTCATTTTTTTCATTTAAAAAGGAAAAAAAAGAAGAAATTTCTTTTTTTTTCTTTTAAATTCTCCTTATAATTGCCTGAACAAAATAAACTTGAGTTTTCCTTTTATTTCCGGGGATGGTGGGGGAGTGAATTGCAAGTACGGCATTGGTCAATTCAAAATATTTGTTGTTTTTGGTCCAAAGACTCCAAACTATGCTTGCTGCCTTACAGGCTTGAACGCGCCTCCCCACAGCTCACCATGACCACCCTTCACCACGGTTTCTAGAAGCATAAGTTGCCAGCAAGTTGCTTCTTTCTTCTGACCTTTTTAGCCAATTAATTTCTTCATCAAAGCAATGTTAATCAAAAACTTTGATAACCCTTTCACGCAATTTCTCACAATGATAAATTTTTTTTATATATATTACTAAGAAAATACTTCATAAATAGCGTTAGTTTTTATTTTTTATTTTATTTTATTTTTATGTTTTGCACTATGGCTTCAGATTTTCAAGATGCACTATAATTTATTTTGCTAATCGTAATAATAATTTGTGATAATTATTTATGCGACAATAGTAATAATAATAATAATAATAAATAGTAATATCCAATTTCCAATTTTCAATATGGAGGTTAGTTTTTGGGCCCGTTTAATTCGCTGATTCGAGTTGAGATGTGATTTTATGTGAGAGCTTTTTACTGTAGTAAAAAAGTTAAATGTAATTGTTTCTGAGAGCTTTTTACTGTAACAAAACTCGAATTTTAAACTCAAATCGGTGAAATTAACGGGACATTTGATTATTAAGTCACCGTCGCAAAACTACCACTATTCTGATTTGTATATACGCGTGCCCAAAATTGCTCACTCCAAATGGAAGTCAGTCTTTGAGATTGACGTGCATTGGAGATTCCATTAAAATTTTGACATTAAGCTTAAATTAGGAGTTGTTTCTCCGCAAATTATGCCTCAAGAAAAGAGCCAGAGAAAATGGTTTAATACCTTTCATTGTAGGGAACATCAAATTGGGGATCTCAAAGGAAGTTTCTTATAATATCATAACTTTAAGACCTAGATACTATGTATTTTTCAGGTGGGACATGAATTGTTTATCCTCATGTGGCCAAAAATTTGTCCCTACAAAACAATATGCTTGACAATATGTATGCAAGGTATGTCCATTTGTCCATGGTTCCGAATGAGACAAGACATAATCGCCGGCCGGCGAAGCCATTGCAGACCATGATCTCCTTGACCAATGGCTGATCCCTAATTAGTTTAAGAAGCCGCCTGAGGAAATTGAATATAGTTTATAGACTTCCAATTATATCTCTCAAAACTCAGTAATACTTATTTTTTTTCTTCCTATTTTGTTTTTCTTATTATTCTATTGTATTACTTGGTTTAGTCCTACTAGGAAACAACTCACCGGCTAGACATGCCATATTCATTGTTAGTGATAAAAGCTTTATATAACATCAAAACAGGAAAACAAAGAAAAAAAAATGGTCTTGGATTTTTATGACAAGATGTAGGGATTACTTGATTTAAGTGCTTCAGTTCAAGACGTTGTTTCGCCATTTTGGTTTAAGATATTTATATACAAGTCGGCATGGCAACGTAAATTATAGGAAACACGTCAAAATCTTGTGGTTTGGTCATATGTTGATTTCTAGCTGGTTGTGGTCTTTACTTAGAGTAACAGCCAAAGCTACTACAATATATGAAAAGTATTTTAAATTTTAGAATGAGATCAATTTGGATTACCTAATCTTGACTCACGGTTCCTGTTTTGGAAAATCCTAATAATATGCATCTTCTAGCTTGGAGGTCTCTCTCTCATGTTCATGTTTTTTTAATGGATTTATATCAAATTTAGGCGTCCGAGGAGCCGCCCACCACCAGGCAGGCGGCCATGGCATCCGAAAAGAGTAAAAAACGAGATCTTTATCTAAAGAAATGCCGTAATATTAAGAGATAAAAACGAGTAGCTTATAAGTATGAAATATACTAGACTTTCATGACTACTATCAAGTGTAGATTGAAGATGCAGTAATGTAATTATCAATTGGTAGACATAAGATTTTGATTTAGTATATGATTTTAATCATAGTTGTACCATATTCGTTCACTTTCCTAATTTACAAGAGGTTGTGATAGTTTTGTGTATAAAAGCAGTGATATGTTCGTAAAGAAAATAATGATGTGGCACTTTTGGCCTTTTATACTCACACATCACTTTTTATTAAGCGTTTTATTCGAGTTTGTGGATAGAACCCGCAGTTACCGGCCGTTGTCGTGTTTTCTATAGTAAAAGTTGTGTAAATTGGTGTTTGTAGCACTTTTACATACTATCGAATTATGTTCTGGGAAAAAAAAAAAGTTTTTTTCGACCATAAGATACAGTGGATTTGGATACACATAAGAAATTTTATTGATCCTTAGGCTCAGTTTATTTCACCGATTAGAGTTTAAAATTTGAGTTTTACTACAGTAAAAAGTTCTCAGAAACAGTCACATTTAATTTTTTTACTATAATAAAAAATTCTCACATAAAGTCACATCTCAACTCGAATCAGCGAACTAAACATACCCTTAATTTAGTTGTAAAGTGTTTCATGTCGTTTTCTCTTATAATGTCCTAATTA